TGGGGCATTTTTGGGGCTGGTTCTTTGTTGGAAGCCTAATTTGGGGTAATTTTAGATTAATTTGGGGTTGATTTTGGATTAATTTTGGGAAAATTTTGGGTTAATTTGGGGTTGATTTTGGGTTAATTTTGTTTTAATTTGGGGTTGATTTTGGGTTAATTTTGGGTTAATTTTGGGATAATTTTGGAATAATTTTTGGTTAATTTTAGATTTAATTTTGGATTAATTTTGGGTTAATTTGGGGGCACTTTGGGTTAATTTTGCGTTAATTTGGGGGTAAATTTTTGGTTATTTTGGGGTTAATTTTGGATTAATTTGGGGATTTTTTGGGGATAATTTCAGATTGGTTTGAGGTTAATTTTGGGTTAATTTTGGGATAATTTGGGTTAATTTTGGGGGAATTTTAGGATAATTTGGGGATTATTTTTGTGATAATTTCGGGTTATTTTTGGGTTAATTTTGGGGGCATTTTGGGGGTAATTTGAGGTTAATTTTGTATTAATTTTGCATTAATTAGTGTTAATTTTGGGTTCATTTTTTGTAAGTTTGGATAATTTTGGGTTATTTTTGGGTTAACTTTGCCTTAATTTTGGGTTATTTTTGGTGTTATTTTGGGGGTAATTTGGGGTTAATTTGAGGTTAATTTTGTGTTAATTTTGCATTAATTAGTGTTAATTTTGGGTTCATTTTTTGTAAGTTTGGATAATTTTGGGTTGAATTTTGGTTATTTTTGGGTTAATTGTGGATTATTTTTGGGGTTATCTTGGGGATCATTTTGGGGTTAATTTGAGGTAATTTTGGGGATAATTCTGTATTAATTTTGTGTTAATTAGTGTTAATTTTGGGTTAATTTTGGGCCAAATTTGGTTTAATTTAAGGTAATTTTTGGGTTAATTTTGCGTTATTTTTAGGTGGATTTTTGGGTAATTTTGGGATAATTTTGGGGATCACTTTGGGTTAATGTTGGGGTTATTTTTGGGTTCATTTTGCACTAATTAGTGTTAATTTCGTTAATTGCCAGGGCGGGAGAAGGGGCGCTGCGTGGCCTCCGAATATTTCCTGGAGCCGGAGCTGAACCTGGTGACCGAAAACACCGAAAACATCCTCAGTAATGGGCAATTTGGGGAATTTTGGGGAATTTGGGGATTTTTGGGGAATTTGGGGAATTTTGGGAGAATTACTGGGAATTTGGGGGGGATTTTTGGGGATTTTTTGGAATTTGGGGAGAATTTTTGGAACGTTGGGGGGATTTTGGGGTGTTTTTTTTAATTTTGGGGGAAATTTTCAGGCAGATTTTGGGGGAAATTTTGGATTTCGGGGGAATTTTTGGGAAATTCAGCGGAATTTTGGGAGGATTTGGGGGCAATGATTGGGATTTATTGGGAATTTTTGAGGAATTATCAGGAATTTTTGGGGAATTATTGAGAATTTTGGGATATTTGATGGGAATTTTGGGAAAATTCGGGGAATTATTGGGGATTTTTTGGATTTTTTTTAAATTTTGGGGGAATTTTGGGGGAATTTGCTGAATTATTGGGAATTTTGGGGGAATTAATTGGAATTGTGGGGAAATTTGGGGGGAATTTTGGGGGATTTTGGGAATTTTGGGGAATTTTTGGAATTTGGGGGGAATTATTTGGAATATTTAGGTTAATGTGGGGAATTTTGGGGGATTTGGGGCAAATTTGGGGGGGATTTGGGGACAATTTTTGGCTTTCTGGACTTTTTTTCAGTCTGAAAATTCCGGATTTTTTGGGGGAGGTTCCTGAGTGTCTCAGGCTGGATTTGGGGTGAATTTGGACTGAATTTGGGGAAATTTTGGGGGGATTTTGGGATGGATTTGGGGAGGAGTTGAGGTGAATTTGGGGGGGATTTGGGGGTGATTTGGGGGTTTTTTTGGGGTTTTTTCAGTCTGAAAATTCTGGATTTTTTGGGGGAGGTTCCTGAGTGCCTCAGGCTGGATTTGGGGTGTATTTGGGGACATTTTGGGGTGAATTTGGGCTGGATTTGGGGTG